AGCAAAACAGAACCGCGGAACCTGCTGGAACAGAGGTTAGGTAGAACTCTTGAAGACATTGGCGCAGGAAAAGTTTTATAAGCAAAATTTCAGTTGCCCATGAACTTGAACAAACAATCAACAAGTGGGATCTCTTCTTTACTAAAAATCTTCTGCAAAGCAAGAGAAGCCACCAACAGAGGGAGGAAACAATCCACAATGAGGGAAAAAATTTTCACCTGCTGTTCCTCAGACAAAGGCCCTCTATCTAGAATCTATAAAGAACTTAAAAAAATCAGACCTCCCAAATTTAAAAACTCAATCCAAAAATGAGCATCTAAAATGAACAGACATTTCTCAGAGAAGTATAAATAAACATATAAGGGCCAGGGATTTAGCTCAGTGGTTCTGCAGCCTGCCTCGCAAGCGCAAGGTCCTGAGTTCGATCCCCTGTACCAAAAAAAAAGAAAAGAAATAAACATATGAACAAATGTTCAACATCACTGGTCATTCGCAAGATGCAAATGGAAACAAGGCTGAGATTCCACCTCACTCCAGAAAGAACAGCTACTATCATGAAATCAACAAATAACACATGCTGGCGGGGTTGTGGGGAGAAAGGGACCCTTCTTGTTGGTGGGAGTGCAGATTGGTGAAAGCACTGTGGAAATTAATATGGAGATACCTCAAACAACTAGGATTAGAAGTCCCATTTGACCCAGTTAAACTTCTGCTGTGTATCTTCCCAAAAGATTTAAAAGAATCATACCACAGTGATATATGCTCACCCACGTTTATAGCAGCACAGTTTGTAATAGCTAAAACTTGGGAACACCCCAAATGCTCATCAATGGAGACTAGATACAGAAGATGTAGGTTTTTTTTTTTATAAAATGGAGTACTACTCAGCCATAAAGAATGAGAAACTACAGACATTTATAGCTAAGTGGATGCACATTGAGGCCATACTCTTCAGTGAAATAAATAGGATACACATATGTAAATACTGAATAGTTTCTCTGGTGTGAAAAACTACAAGTGTAAATAAGGTACAAAATGTATAATTAATATTGTGAAATAGGAAGAAAATTTCTAAAGGAGTAGGGGAAGTGGGATGGGTAGGGGAAAGAAAAGGGAAAAGAAAAAAATATGAAAAAAGGAAAAACAATGGAAACAAAGTCTTTGCAAGTAGCAAAGGGTGGAGGAGGTGAAGAGAGGGCATGGTAATGGGGAAAAAATAAGAACCAAGATATATCACGTAAAGGTAGAAGATCCCAATGATGAATGTAAATGTATTTTATACCTAAAATGTACCAATAAACTTAATGAAAAAAATTAAAACAATAAAAATAACTTTCTCTGCACAACAAGAGAAACTACCAAAAGTGTGAAGAGACAACTAACAATGTGGGAAAAAATTTTTATCTGCTGTTCCTCAGACAAAAGTCTATCTAGAATCTATAAACTTAAAAAAAAATCAGACCTCCCAAATTTAAAGACCCAGTCCAAAAACGGGCATCTGAAATGAACAGACACTTCTCAGACAAAGAAGTAGAAATAGCAAACAAACATATGAAAAAAAGTTCAACATCATTCAAGAGATGCAAATGAAAACAACACTGAGATTCCACCTCATCCCAGAAAGAATGGCTGCTATCATGAAATCAACCAACAACAAATGCCGGCAGGGCTGTGGGGAAAGAGGAGCACTGCTCCACTGCTGGTGGGAGTGTAGACTGGGGCAACCACTGTGGATCAGTAAGGAGATACCTCAAAGAAGTAGAACTGGAAGTCCCATTTGGACCAGCTATTCCCCTGCTGGGTATCTTCCCCAAAGAATTAAAAGAATCATACCACAGTGATATATGTGCACCCATGTTCATAGCAGCACAGTTT